ATATCTGGTTGGTTTGGAACATGTGGTCGATTTTATAACGAAAGAACCGGCAATACCGCCACCTCCTGAACCATTCGAGTGCTCACAATGCAAAACAGACTTCACGCCTGTATGGAAATGGGAAAAACCTATGCCTGGTGGTAAAAAGGACAGTCCTAGGGGGCAACATGCAACTTTCCAACGTCCATCAGCGGGTCGCGATCCTAGAGTCATATGTGAGCATTGTGTGACAACTAATGTGAAGAAAGCGTTGAAAGCAGAGCACACTAATCGGTAGGTTTATATTAACCTTTGGAGGAGGCTCGTTTAGAGATTCGACAGTGGCATCACCTTTCGCCATTTAACCCCATGACGATAACAAAATGTTCTAGCCCTTAAAATAAAAAAGTCGATCAAAAACATGTCGATTCTCAGAAGCTTATTGATGTAGAAAATCTTTTGTTAATTTTTTAATAAATTGATATTATATAAACTATTGCTAACTATTATAGAAGATCTAATATATGTATATATTATTTATTACATACATACCTATAAGATTTGTTTAAATAAACGAATAATTGAAAATTTAGTTATATTTCTGCAAAATAAAAAATGGAATAATGTTATTTTTGTATAATATAATAGATTTTATATGGGATTACAGATTAAAAACAGCTTTCGTAAAAGCGCTGCAACAAGAGCAGGAGATAGAACAAAGGCTAGCGCAAGCTGCGTGTCCAAGTCCAGATCCTCCAGCTCCGAAACCAGTTCCTAAGGCAGCTACTCCTACAAGAAGAGTGGCTACTCCACCTGCGCCTCCACCACAGGTGCCACCGGCACCTACGTTGACGCCGACGCCTCCCGCGCCGAAACTGCAAGAGCATCCCTTGGTGAAACTGGCCGAGAGCGGGAAGTTCAGTCCACATCATGCAGCTGCTGCGGCAGCTTTGCAGCAACAATTGCTCAGAGGTGAGCAAAAATATCCTCGAGAAATTCTTGAACGAAAACTAATATAACTAATTTATCATTTTCCATCATTGTTTCAGAATTGGCTAAGAATCCAGTACCGGGTATACCACCGCATCAACCTCTTCCTGCTCACATGATGCCGCATTTTACCTCGATACTGTATCCCTATCAATTAGCAATGGCTGCCGGTGGCAAAGGCCTCGTAGAGTTACAACGACAAGCGGCGGATCTTCAACGTCAATATCTACTCGATATGATTCCGTCGCAGACATCTCAAGCGCAAGGCAATCAAGCACCACCAAGAGCCCATCCACATAACTGGAAAACGTAACCGGACGCATTTAAAGGATGATGATGTAGCAGTAAATGCGAATAAACAGTGAAAACGTGTATAACGAAAGAAATGGAGAAGCTAGGGAGAATCTAGTAAAGTGTGCAGTCGTAATTCTGTACGCCTGAATTACACTATGCCAACATTAGTGTCTCAGTTAAGGTGAAGCTCAACTTGAAGTACATCGGAAGAATGACATTCGTTAGTATTGTATAAAGAATAATCGTTGTGAATATGTCAATTGACGTGTACGTTTATGACTTTATTGTTATCTAAGGGGTAAAGGTTTTATTTCCGTCACTGAAATACACACTCAACGTACGTATGAGTTGGGATACAGATCGCATCGTAAGTAATTAATTCATTGTTTAGTGGAGATCAACTAAACTCTCCCAATTGGAAATGTCGTTCATTTCCTTTTTTCTAATCTTTCCTCGTACACATATGCGTTATCATTTTGTTAACGTTGTCCACTGAACAACTGATATATAAACATAATAATTAATTTAAGTGTACCGACAAGCATATTATAACATTGAATGCAATTGCTTGAATTGTGAACACCGAGTTGTCTAATTAAGCGCAAGTGAGCGATCATTTTGCTTTTATTATACTACTTTGTTCTTTCTTTATATATCGCACATATATCCTATCTCTTTTTACTTATATAAATGATGATATGAATTTTATTAGCAAAGTTATATATTACTAAATTGTGCAAGAAATATATTTTCTTTATCTTTCTTTTGTTCATAAGAAGTATTTAGCATAATAAAAAGCAAAATAAAAGTGCTCGCTCGCTCGCATGATAAAGTCAAGTTAGACAACTCTGTTATACAATATAATATAAAGAACCAAATAGACATTTACACAAGGCACTAAATAAATCAATAATAAGTGTAAAATGACTACAAAATCGGATTATTAACAATAATAGGGATGATCGCGAGAGGAAAGGCACGAATGTAAGATGAGGTAACGAATGTTGATGGAAAGGATCTTTTTAGACCCTTAGATAGTTAATACGATTTTTGCCGTTGATTTGCCAAGTTTTGCAATCATCGGCGGTACCTGTACTATGTGTATATCTCATTTTCTCCGAACTGTATTTTTAAGACAAGTTTAACGCAAGATAGAGCAGTAGCTACATATGAGAAAAAAGAAAAAAATGACCTTTGTAAGAAAGCGCGTATGAGTGTGATGTTAAGCCAGCACATGTGAGATGTATAGGAATCTTTTTCTCTCTCCACATATGAAGTATGCATCAGCGAGTTTCTAATGAAGAGCGACACGTGTGTTATTCGCGCACAAATATGATTTTTTTGTGCGACGTTAAGTCGTACGTTAAGTCGGGCTCGTAGAATATGCACTCGGGCGATGTATACACGACTTAACTGGGACTGTTCTTGTACGTTAAAAACGAGACTCAAACGAATCTGCAATGATAATCGGGATTCGAGTTAACGCAGCGCGATTAATTTTCATGTCACATTCAATGTAAAAGTATTTAAAGAAACTTACTAGAGGAGATACGTAATCGAGATTTTTGCGAATTGTTACAACACGGCGACCGCCGGATTTTTACGACATCCTCTACGAGAGTCTGCACTTGAACGAGTTAAAAAGTATCCGGCACTTGTCCCCAATATTACCAGTCCTTCCTCCACCCCGTTCCTCCTCCACTAATAGTCTGATTTAATTAATTCTGGGCTAACCGATCTTGGTCTCATACATTTCCGAATCAATTAAATATATAGTACTATAGTCTTGATATTTCTCGGTATATGATACAACTTAATAAACTAAAATAGCGCATAATCATCTCTCTTTGTACTACGTGATAGATTTTGAACTCGTACTTGATATACATGTACACCATAATAAGTCTACGATCGCATAATAGATCAAGATCTGTGTTTTTTGTGTAAGAAAAAAACGTAATAATATGTCGTCAACTAATTACCGTCATTGGGGCACTACCGTCGTCGTCGTCGTCGTTGTCGTCGTTATTCTAAGATGAGATCCGAGAGCGAAATAGAATGACAACGTGAAGGAGGAGAGATTCTTAAAAGCTTGAACGTACTTCCCCGAGAAAATAGAGCAATATTTTATATAATTTTGATAATTAAAGATTATTTCCAAGTTGTTTATATTAAAAAATTGCTCTTTCAATAAGTAGTTGAAATTAAAGTTATAATTTATCATAAAAATTCATTATATATACATATATGTCTTTTAGTGTTTATTAATTAAATTGTCCAGTTAATTAGTAAATTATTGATTGATTACATAATTTAAGAAATTGAAAGCGATGAAGGAAATTTTGATAAATTTAATGAGAGTTAATTTAAAACTACTTGGAAATAAACTTATTAATTTCGCAATCGCTTGCGATATTTTATCTAACAAATGAAAGAATCAATATAGGAATTTAAATTAAATTTATTTTCCGATGTAAACAAATAATCAGAGAATATTATCTTACATTTCTTTATAAAATTGGCACGAAGATGTGCCTGATGTATGACTTGGAATTTACGCCGATTCGGTAAAAAGAAAATTATCATCATTATCATTACTGTTATTATTATCATTATTATTATCATCATTATCATTATCATCATCATTATTCGCAAATAGATTAATCGCATTCAATAATCAGACCGCGTCTCGTTTCTCACAAACAAAAAGAATACGTTTCCTTCTATTTTTCTTTTCTAGTCTTGTCTCTCTTTAATCTCTGTGTGGTGCTGTTAGCAATTAAACACCTTTCAAAGTGTGAGAGAATTTTATATCCTAAAAAAAAGGAACTCTCTTTTCGCTACACGACAGAAACGAGGGATGGCGAATATTTAGAGCTAGAATTCTAAGGCAATCGCAAAATGAAAAAAAAAAAGAAAATACGGGTTCGCTTGGGGACGCAAATATTTCATGATTATGAATATTGAGCCGTTAAAGACTGTGTGACGTACGCACATTTTTTATTTGTCAAGGAAAAAATTGCGAAATTCGTATACCGATCTTGGAACATCTGTCCGAATGAAAAGCGTTGTCCCCACCATAGAATTAGTAGATAAATAAAGATTACCGAATACTCTGGAAACTATATGAATAAAGCTTACCAATGATTGTATTAAAAGGTGATATTTATTTATCTTTTGTAATATTTTCGTTTCTTTTTTTGGGTTTAACGCATCTGCGAGATTTTCGTTCGTATTTGTAATTATTCTATGTTTATATCGGCGAATCCAAGATTATGTGTGTTCTGTTATAGTAATTTCCTAATTATTCGATGTCTTGCCAAGGATAAAACAATAAAATGCTGGTGGTATATGAACCTATGTATTCGCAAATTTATGAACATATGAATTTATTGATTTATATACCAAAATTTCGACCTATAATTCCATAAACCGATTGAAAAAAACTCAAATTTTTTTTCAATTTTATAAAAATTAGATTTTTTTCAAAAAGATGCTCCAAGGATTTGTAGAATATATAATTAATATTATATAATAATATAATGGCTCAATAATTTAAAAAAACAAGTTAAAAGAAAAAAGTTTACAAACCAGAAATTTTACGTATAAACAAATTGGTAGATAAGTAAAAAAAAGTCTTAATAAATTGTCTTAATATAATTAATAGCCAAGATTAAGGTAAAAAGAATTAAATATATGTTACCTGGTAAGTATAAATCGTAAAAATGTTCTCCATAAAGTATATTAATTATATTTTATAAATTTATTTTTGATTATAACAAATTTCAGCTTATGTAAATTGGAAAAACCAAAAAAATTTTTGTGTCGGTTTAAATAATATAATTGTATATTATATAATATTTCACAAATAATATAAATGTCTGATTGTAGATTCATCATTTAAATGATACCAGGATTCAGATACCTACAATCAGTTGCGGAATTAAAAATCTTTGTTCGAACAAAGTTGGGCCCAGAAGCAATCAGGTCGATAGATAACGACTTTCGAGGCTAAATTTAGAGTACGGCGTAAAATTCGGTGCAACTTGTAATATCAAGTAAATATCTCTGATCATCCAGTCAGAGCAGCATCTATGCAAACAATTTGATAACGAAGAAGACAAGTAAAATATTTTTGTCACATAGTAATCATTGTAAATCAACTATCACAGTTGAAACGAAGAGATCTTCTTTCTAATTCTGTTTCTCGTCATACTGGGTCACGCATTTCTTGAAGTGTTTGGCGCAGAAGGGATACAATGTCGGATGATCGCATGTTCTGCAAGCCGCTGCGAGATGAGAACAGCACCTCAAGCTTTCACGACAACAAGAGGCCCACAAGTCAGGTCCGGCAGCGGCGCAATCGTAACAGAAACAGTCACCTGCAATTCGAGATGCCATTTAATATTTATGATTTAACGATTTCCTCTGAAAATTTCCTGCAAACCGCACTTCCTCGATTTCACTTGCGCCGATATCTTTTATCTTCAACTATTCAAACTCGCGATAAGTAGTTTCTGCATTTCATCGAAGATTAACATATAAATAACTATATTTGATTATGTTTTGCCAGCGTTCTCCATAATAAAATCAAATTTCAAAGCAATGTGTTCCGGATTGCCGTTCTCTTTTATCAAGAATGTTTAAAAATCCTACTTATGTAAGGAATTTTTGATTTAATAAATACTTATATTAATGATATTTGAAGCGAATTAACTTATATTTAATTTTATACTTAAATAATTC